ACATATACTAAATTTATTATTAAAAAAAAAATAAAAAAAGGTTGTTACAAATAAGATATGTAACAGGCTGTTACATTCTTTTATTAAATCCAATTTTAAATATGATCAATACATTGTGAAGCTAAACTAAGCATAATATACAAGTAGATTAACAATATTCAATTTAAACAGTAAAAGAAAAATTCGAAATTAATACTATTACAAAAAATGTAAATTTCTCTATAAGTATTATACTTACACCCATAAAAATTAATATGTAAGTAGTTTTGACCTTGCTGAACAATTTTCAATTAATTTAGAAAGTCGATTTCATTTGGCCAAAGTGGTGTAATTACGCTCTGAAGTTGTAAATAGAGAAATGAAAAATTCAGAAGTTAGTACCATTATGAAAAATGCACTTTTCTCCATAAGTATTATACCCACACTCATGAAAATTAATATATAAGTAGTTTCGACCTTGCTGAACAACTTTCAATTAATTTAGAAAGTCGATTTCATTTGACCGAAGTGGTGTAATTACGCTCTGAAGTTGTAGACAAAAAAGTAAAAAATTTAAAAGTTATTACCATTATAAAAATATGCTTTTCTATATAAATATCATACTTAGTCTTATGAGAATTAAAATACAATTTAAGTATAAAAGATAATTTGATATAACCAAAGTGGTGAGTAGTGAAATTATATTTTAAAGTAAAATATATTTACAGTAATTTTATTTAACAAAATAAATAGTATTTTTTTAATTTTTATTAAACTCAGTGTATTATTTTTAATATAAAATTACTATATTATACATGTTGAAAGATAATTAATAAAATATTGAAAAAAAAACTGAAATTTCATCAAAAAAAAATTTTTGTTTATGTATTTATATAAAATTGTGAAATAGTACAAAATTAACACTTACCGTTAGTGAAAATAAAATAAAAATTAATTATAAATTCAATATATCCCTTAAACTATTTTGCGGGCAAATTTGCCTGCAATTTCTAAATTAGAATAAATGACGCTATAAAAAATTCTTTAATTTTGGCCAGATCGTCACATAATTTTGCACCAAATTGATCTACATTCTGGCCATAAATTGTATGAGTTAGATATACAGTTGATCATTAAAATTGGATTAGAAATTAACCCGCAAAAATAGTATCAGAATTTTTATATAATAAAATTTAAACTTTTCTTACCATATTTTTTCTCTATTTGAATATTTATTATAACTTTTTATTTTTATTATAAAAATTTTGCATTATAATAAACAAAATAGAGATAAAAAAAATCAATTGTTATGAATATATAATTAAAATGCATAATAAAATTTTCATTAAGATTCTATATAAAGTCAAAATCCTACTTTTAAATATCAAAAATCATATTAACAAAAGTCGTTTCTCATACCAAATTCTACATATTCTATTAAGCTTTTATATAGCTACAATTAATTATCAATGAAATCGTCGAAGTTAAATGCAAAGTTTTTTAAAATTTTGTGATTATCTTAAAATACAACTTTTGACCAATGGGTAATTTTCGATTTTCTAATATATAATTAATAAATGATAATAATTGCTGCACAATATATAATTTAAACTATCTTGGAAAAAAATTTTATTAAAATTGCTTTATTTTTCATAAAATTAGATGAGAGCTGAAATTTGGTAAAATTGCAGGCAAATTTGCCCGCAATTGCTTACAGTTTAAGGGATAATATTTTAAAAAGTTCTATAAATATGAAAAATAAGCAACTAAAAACTCTTAGTATTTTAAAATAATACCAAAAATATGCAATTTAATTATCTTACATAGTATAAAATTTTCTCAAAATTAAGCATTATAAAATTCTTACATCATAAAATTTTTCTATGTTAACTAAGCACCTTGGTACCTTACATATATAAGTATTTTCTGGGATCCTCTTATTAATGTATAAATTTATATTCTGATGCACGTATCATTGTTATCAATTTTTTTTTATTTAAAGTAAATCAAATCATTGTTATCAATTACTTTTTACTTCTCTTAATTTTGTAGTTATAATTATCATTTATTTTTTATTTACAACGATTCCATTACTTTTCCTCTTTTTTTTAATTTTTTTTAGTTATAACGAATAATGACTTCAAAGCGCGGAAGGAAGAAAAATATTACCAATGCAAATAATAAATCTGTTATATCTCTTCGAGAAATGCTTGAAAAAGATGTAATATTTCAATTATTTTATACTGTTGATATTAGATATGTATATAGATTTATTTATATGTTAAATTTATAGGTTGGATCAAGAGAAAGAAGCGAAAAACAACCTTTATCTAAAACCAAAAAGCAAACTACATCATGAGAAAAATCTACATTAACTGAAAAAATTGAATATATAAACGTTGATAAATGTGATATTCCTCAAAATTTGCCAATTCCTAATATTCAAATATATAACGAGATTGATAATTTAGTGGTCAATGAAACTTTACCTTTAATTGCAAATAATGAAAAAAGGTATATATTCTTTGAATAATTTTTACATTACGTTAAATTAATATTGTTGATAGAAATAATACCAAGATGATGATGAATATCTGAATAAAGTTGATTGTATTGATTTAATTCAATGTGAAGATTAACAAGATATTCCATATCAAATATTATCTTATAGGCGTCAACAGAGATCTGTAATAAATTTGAAACAGTTACCAACTTCACTAAATGTACCAATTCAAAATGACTCAATGCCATCAACATCTGGATCAAGTACAAAAGCAATATCATCTCAATATACTGAAAAGACAAGTGAGCGAATTTAATCATTTATGATTCTTTATAATATTTATAATTATTTATCTAATAAATCTTTTTCTGTAACTGAAGCTATTGAATCTAGTATTAAACAGAAGAAATTTGATGAATTTAATGATTTACTAACTAAATGTAAGTAACGATCATGTTACATTATGAAATCTTTAATTTCTAATTATAAGATATTGGAATACTATTTTTCAGGAAAGTTTCTAAGGGCCGCCAAAAAATCTAACCAATTTTCTTTGATTTAGATATTAAATCCAATGCAAATACTCAATCTATTCTCGAAAAAATACTTGAAGAACAGTTGAGACAACGTACCACAATCGAAGTAATAGAAAAGAGTAACACGAAATTGAAATGTGAAATTTTTGAAAATCGTAAACTTATTCAAGAGATATTTACAAATTTTACAGTAGGACCATTAAATACTGAGCAAACACAACAAGAGGGAAAGGTAAAGCAACAATTGAAAAGAAAAGACATGAAACACATTTGGTGGGAGTGTGGGACGTAAGTATTTTAATTTATTGTATTAATTTATTATATTTATCAGTTGAGATTATATTTATTTCTTTATTTTATAGGCTCTAATGACAGAAGCATGTCATAAGTTATTCCAAACTAACAAAAATCCATCAGATGCAGAAATTGAACGTTGTCACCCCGTCTGCCACCCGGCGGTAAATAAAGTTCCCTGCTTCTGTTATATGTACTCTCAGCGAAATATTCATATTCTTGCTTGGTTTAGTTTTAAATCTTTAACTTAATTTTCATCATTTTCTAAGTCACACACGGACTTCTCAATATACATTAGCCACATTTGGGCTTTAAAGTCACTGGTCTCGGACTTTCTTAATATACAAGCCATACTTGGGCTTCCCAATAAACCACACTCAGGTTTCTCAAAATAATACGAGTCATATTTGGGACTCCTTAATTCTTTATATTCATATTCATTTCATCATTTTAATACTTATTTAACATTAATTAAAACTTAGGCGAATCATAAGTATATTTGAAATAACTTTTAATAATTAACATTTTTACAAACATTTATGAACCCTTCATCCATATAATTGTGTATATTCTGACTAACCGAACTATTAAGTTCGTGCGTTTCTCATATATCAAATGGTAAAGGAATTCATTATTTAACGTACTTTTTCATCATAAGAAAACAGTATAAAAGAGTTGAAAATAATTAATTAATGTGTAAAAAGTATTTTATTTATATTTTAATCTTCATAAAATTCACAACTAATCTAATTACTTAAAATTCAAAATCCTAACTGACGACTGTCGAACTCACTTCCCATTCCACTCCTATTTAAACAAACTTTCTTATTCTTTCTTTTTCTTACTTCTTATCTAATATTTTATGTTATGTGTTATCTTTTATGTACTATCTTTTATGTACTATCTTTTATATGCTATCTTTCTAATATACTTTTTTAATATGCTATCTTTTTAATATACTATTTTTAATATGCTATCTTTTTAATATGTTATTTTTAATATACTATTTTATGTCGTCGGGCTGGTAGTGTAGTCACTACGTTCCTCCACCTCGGCCAGGGCCTCGCAGTACCTACATCCCCCCTCCGTGGGGCGGGGAATCCCTATATATCTGAAACAATATGAAACAAGATCTGAAACATAACAATATAAGCAAAAAAGGATAAAATAAGGGAAAAGAGAGGAAAATAAGAGAGAATCAGAGAGGGTGTTTCGATGTTTCAGATGTTTCGGCAATTTTGGTAAAAGTCAGGCGAGGACAACCCTCCCAGAAAAAGTTTTGATTTTACCCCCCCAGATCTGAAACTTCTGAAACATCTGAAACAGATTCAGGATTCCGTTCGTTTTCTTATTGGAGGCAGTGAGATAGCAAATCGAGTAAACAGATAGGTTAATA